AGATACACTCGTATAGAAATGTGCGTTGTTACCAGGAATTATGTACTGTTGGCGTACTTCAAGTACATTAGGGCTGATATGCGTGCACACAGGCAGTGTTGGAGTGTGGCGGGCAGCGCAGACAGCGGCCTTCGCGATGTCGACCGTCGACGAAGCCTCGTCTCTGATCTGCGACCTGTGCGACGCGTTCTACAAGCAGGGATGGGTGTCCGGCACAGGGGGTGGCATCTCCATAAGGACGCCCGCAGGCATCGTGGTGGCGCCCTCCGGCGTGCAGAAGGAGCGCATGCTGCCGGCCGACATGTTCGTGCTGGACGAGGAGGGGGAGATCACGCGGTGCGGGGCGCAGAGGCCGGGTAGCTCGAAGGCCCCAAAGCTCAGCGAGTGCGCACCGCTGTTCATGGCGGTGAGTGGGCAGCGCGGGGACGACGGGGTTCGGGATTTGGAATATTCGCGACCGGGTGTTTGCGTGCAGAGGGTGCTGCGTTGGCGGCGGAGTCGGAGGCGCTGGTGTTTCGAAATGGCCATTGTCGATCGTTGACGTTGAGAAAATGGCCAGTGTCGATCATTTGGTTGGAAGGTGCGGTAGTGGATGGTGGATGTGGGATGTGGGAGACGTGGGTGCGTGGGAACACCTCCCTGTGGCACTCTTTCACCATGGGAACGATCAGTGCTGCTTGTGAGCAGAGTTTGATGGTCTGTTCGACAGGATCAGCTTCCCATGCCTGCTATCGTCTCAAGCGTCTCCAGCGGAATGGGAGAATCACGTTGGGAAACATCATCATGGGGTGCCACTAGCGCCCCTGCTGATGGTTTCTCCCCCTATGCTCTATTGTGAGCCTATTCCAGAGAAAGATAGTTCTCCAGTTCTGTAATATTGGTCTGTGCCACATTTTGGCAGACAAGACAATTTCATGGATGCCAGGAAGGATGTCCCATTCAACTGCCTCAATGTGGCCTTGGCAGACATCAATGTCAGCTTCGTTTTTCGAAAAGGAGGCATCTTTGGGCAAGGACATTGTTCACATAGACGTGGTGAAGCATTGTTTGCATTCGAATTTGGGCTTTTGGCTCTTCTGTGCTTGGTAACACACTGGCCGGGAAAAATTCCAGATTGGAATCTTGCAACAGAGCATCTGATTGTGTTCCACATCTGCAGGTTTGAGCCTTTGTGTTTTTATTTAATTTTAGTGTCCTTGCTACTGGGCAAGCATCCTTACTGTTACGCAGGCCTACAAGCTTAGGAATGCAGGAGCCGTCATTCACAGCCACTCGATGCATGCCATGCTTGCGACCCTCGTCGATGAGGAATCCACTGAATTCAGTGTCACGCAGCTGGAAATGATCAAGGTAGACAATGATTTTCCGGTGTGCCTTATTTCTATGCTTTGTTCCAGTTTGTTCATGTGTTTGTTGCAGGCTGTCAAATAGGTGCATAAGTCTTGATCATGATGTTGGCACAGAACTAACTGTAACAATTGGCTTGAGAATTGTGGCAAGGAAAGACATGCTCTCAACAACCTGTGACAAAGTTTAGCAGCACAGTTGGGTGGGACTAAATTGACTGCCTGTGTCCAAATATGCAGATGCTCGCTGAATACATGTAGGCAGCTTGAAACTTGAAGCTTTCCTGAACTGTTTGCTGAAGTGGATGTGGTGCAATAGGTGTGATCTTATGATGACTCATCTGGTTCCAGCTGCATAGGCCACGTATGGCCCATGTGCCCAACAGGTTGCATCATCATCAATGCACACATTGCTGCACCATTGGCATGCCCGATCTAGCAAAGCACCCAACGCCCTAGAAGCTAGGCAGAGACAGGAAAGAACAGCATTATGTTGGGTAGCGCATGCATGCTGGTATCGCATGAAATCTGTCCTGACACTTAGTTGGTGCCAATGCATGCAGTCTCTTCTGTGGTGGCCATGCAGGGCATCGCCGGGCACGGATATTACGACAACTGTGTAGTGCCCATCGTTGAGAACACTGCCCGAGAGTGTGAGCTCACGGGCAGGCTGTCGGAGGCAATAAGGCTGTACCCAAAGACCAGCGCAGTTCTGGTTCGGAGACATGGTGCGCACAGCACTTCATGCGTGACATCTGAGCACAGCCACAGGAATGACGAATTGGGTGTTGTCCTTCATTGTCCATGAGATTGTACCCATGCTACAAGCCATGGGTTCAGACAGGTACACAGATAGTGTGCAGATTGCAAATTGACAGCAGAGAATACCCCCTGTTGTGCATCAGAAAGCTGAGGGTTTGGACTTGAATGCCATTGATGGGTGGAGCTGCCTGCTGTTGTCCCCTGTGCCATTCACAGAGTGTGATGGCTGTGGGCCCATCTCTCGCTGCGCTCCCAATGCTAGCACTTGACAGAATCGCTTCTTTTGGGCATGACTATGAGGTGGTGGAGGATGTGGGGTTGCCAGGGCAGTGTGTCAGTTGTGCATTTTCTGACAGGCACTTTTGGTTTATGCCATTAGGGGTCTATGTTTGGGGCGACTCCTGGATCCAGGCGAAAACCCAGGCAGAATGCTATCACTACCTGTTTGAGGCTGCTGTTGCGATGCGCCAAATGGGTGCAAGGGTAAAAGAGGTCCCAAGGGGAGCTGCTGGCAATGGATGCACAGGTAAGCTGTGATGCACATCACTTTTACAGCCATCTGTGGCACAGGACTGTGGCTAAAATGTTCATAACATGGAATGCACAATGGAGCAACATATGCAGGCTCTTTGACCAAAAGCAAGGTTGTGGTTGGTACAGTGGAGTGGGCTTCCTAGCAACACAAACACAGCTTGTCAAATTTGCTTCAATAGCAATTCTCGCTACCAGATAGAACAGGGACCCTGCACCTTGAAGACAATGGCAGGTGTATGCTGAGTCATTGCGATTGCTCCTCAGTTTATTGTCCACATTCTACCCGTTTGCACCAGGTACAAATGGTGAATTGAGAAAAAAAAGTGTTTGCACAACTTGTCTGGCCAGCTCCACAGTATTGGAAGGCAGAAATTCCCCTGCCAAGCTGACGGAGTGTTGCCCAACAAAGAAAGAAATTTCGCTTGTCATGTGTTTGGTATGAGGTCCCCACACAGCCTCATGCTGTGGCATCAAAGTTTGTTGAGATGGGGTTTTGCCTGACTGGGCTGTTGTGAATTACAGACTCTCAGTCTGTATCTGTATTCAACACATGAGGGTAGAATTGCATATAGCTGGGGCATTTGGTGCCTTGGGAGTTTGGCTGTTATGTTGCACTTTTGCTGTTTTGCCTTTTGTGATCTTCACTGTGTCATCCTGTCTGAGTATGTGTTTTTAGAAGTTTGCCGCTGTCTCCAAACCAAAACATGGCAGTGTGCAGAACTGGCTTTCTGAGCACGTTTGTGGACAGTGATTGAATGGAATAATCCATCCATGGTGACAAAGCTGCTAAGCTGCCTTCAGAATTGGCAGCACTGTGTATCGCTGTATTGATGAAAGACAAGGAACATAAGGAGCACAAGGAATTCAGAAGCTCTTTGTGTGGTACATTTAAGTTGACCTCTGCTGAATCTCATTGGTCTTATAGTGCAGGGCGATGTGCATGGCTTTTTCGCTTTGTTGGCCATAGCGATCACAGCGCTGAAGTGTTTTGTTGTAGTGAGGTGCGCGACTCACAGTGAACTGTTGTTTCGATGCAGCTGCCATAGGCCGACCAACCAAAAGGGCACGATTGGATCACATCCGCCAGCCATTGAAGGTGGTTGTGCTGGACATAGAGGGCACTGTGTCGCCACTGTCTTTTGTGGCCGAAACCATGTTCCCCTATGCCATGCGCTACATGCAGGAACACCTGACACAGTCCTACACCACAGACCAGACTAAAAGAGTCGTGGAGGCCATAAGGAAGCAGGTCAGATCTGAAACAGGGGAGATGAATTGTGAGCGGCTCAGTGAGCACAAAGCCATGCACATGTCACACTTACACCGTGTCTATCTGCAACATCTTCACCTTCATGTGCACATTCCATTTATTTGGGCAAGAATGAGTTATGGTTGGACTCTGATTGCGTTCCTTGTTGAGCTAAACAGTCGTTTAATAAGTTTTTGCCTCTGGTGTATTTGATGTAACTGTCCTTGTTGCAGCACATGGGCCTTTTAGGTCCCTCAACATATTTCAGCCTTCCCCCGAGATCAGAAAGTTGATCACAACTCAAAATCGAACAGACTCAGCACACGCATTCACTATTTGTTGGAAAACACCCCTTGGACAGTCGCAGTTGTTTGCAGAAGCGGTTCTGTGGATGGAACCTCTTGTTCAGTTGCTGTGGTAATTGTGGGTGCACTTAATGTGGGTAGCCTTAATGCTTGTAACCCAATGCGGTGATGCAGTCAAAGCCCCTTGCGCTGATGAATAACGGGCATCTTTTATCCATTGCCTGGTACCCATGTTTCGAAACTGGGAATCGAGAACCCACATTTTGCAAGTGCTTGCTGGCAGACAAGAGGGAAGAGCATTGTGTTGGCCAGAAAAAAAGTTTGTTGTGTTGCAAGGATGCCAGCTCATGACCACGAATTCAAATATGATTTTACATATTTTGCTTGGGTGCTGTGTCTCGGTCGATTGGGGTTGAGACAGTCAGTGTACTAGCTGTTTGTCTATGATTGTGTGGGATGCTTGCATTGACTGCACAAGATATTGTATTTTAGAATGGAGATAGTGCACCAATGGTTTCAGCAGCAGGTTGCAGTTTGTTGCATGCATGGTGCATTGCTGTAGAATCTCGGGTGCCAAGAAATTGATCGAATGCCACATCCTCTCTCCATTTGGTGTTAGCACAGTTGTCAAAGCTGATAAGCATGAAACCTTCTAGTATCCTGACAAAGGCGATACTGTGCAGACTGGATTTTCGTCTCTGCTTTCAGTTGTTGTCATCGCTACCTAAGCTGCTTCCAATGGGACATACACCTTTTTTTGTTGGCTTCCTTGTCGGACAACCACTATCCTGCTCCGGCAATAGAGTTCTGCCCTGATTGCAGTGGCCTCCACACAGGCAAACACTGCCATCCTGCATGTGTCTGCCCCGGTGCCAGATCTCTGCAAATAAATGTGTTAGCTGCACAGGACGTCCAAGACATGCATGCTGAACACCATATGTGTCTCTTTCTGATGGTCTCCTCAGGCAGCTGAGGACAAAGCGTCTGGTCTCAGCGACATTGTGATTCCCCCTGCCACTGAGACGCCTGAGATAGTGATCTCTGCCTGCTACAAGTGGGCCATGGGTGCTTCTGAAACCAACAGGAAAGTGGCTGCACTGAAGAACCTCCAGGCAAGTACGAAAACCTCAACCCACATGAGTGCAGGTTGTGCCACCAGTTCAGTACTCGGTGATGTGAGCTGCAGCGCACTTGCCAATGTTGTACTGACCCTGTGCTGAGGTAGATTGATACCACACCCTGTTTTGTCCTCACCTTGACAACAGCCAGGCGGGGAGGCAGGCACAGAATGGGCCATGGTGGGGGTGCTGCTCGTGTTGGTCTGCCGCAGGGTGGTGCCAAAATGCAGGTGCAGTTGGTGCATGATGGTGCAAGAATTGCATGTACGGACTTGTACCAACTGTGCCTGTACCCATCAGCATATGGTCACATTATCAAGGCTTTTGGATTGTGGTATAGAGTGTGGCCATTTAGTATGCAGCTGCTGCATGCTTGCAATGCTGCATTCCATAGTTTAAAGAACCTCATATGGCACATGCACTTTCACCAGACTCCTTTACGATAATTGTTGACGAGCGTGATTGATGTGCACGTAAGGCACAGAGGTTAATGTTGCTGTTGTCATTCATTGACGAATGGTGCAACAAAAAGCAATGTTTGAGTTGTTCAAGAGAGGTTACTAATTAGGGCTTTGCTGAGGATGTCTGCTGCATGGCAATCTGCTGTGACAAGTGGAGTTCCCGCTATAGCTTTGCCCTGTTTGTTGCATCTGATATTTGTGGTATGGACTGCTGCAGGGACACATCTGGAGGAAAGGCTTCTCAAGTGGCGAACTTGTGGCGCCGCTGTTCCCTGATGTGCTGCCCGCGCTTAAGGCATGGAAAGAGAACGGCGTCAAGGTCTACATTTACTCCAGCGGGTCAAGAGAGGCACAGAGGCTTTTTTTCGCACACACACAGGTATGAAATTTTGGGTTGTTGGGCTGTGGAATCAGCTCCACTTGGAGCGGTTGCGTAGACTATGTTTGCACCGTTGCACGTGCCAGTTTATTCCATGTTCCTCGTTAGACTTTTAGGGAGAAATGGGATGGATTAAGTCCTCAGTGTTGTGTGTGGATACACATATTTCTCAAGCGCCCAGTTGGCCATCCATACATGGGCGCACCCATCTACGGCCGTGGCGGTAGCGACTGCTGATGGGGTACTGCAGAGCATGCCACACAGCACATTAGCGAAGGGTCATCGTCCTTGGGGCTTTTGGCGAGCGTTGCAAGACGATGGTCCACGTTTCACTGTTCTGCATTGTAAGATCACGTGCCAGTGCTGACGTCTGTGGTTGGCATTGCCAGAGACTGATGTATTAAGCTCTGCGCGGACTGACATCGTGGTTCTGTGCCAGGTTGGCAACCTGCATGACTACACATTGGGTTTTTTTGACACAACGGTGGGCCCGAAATTCGAGCCCAGCAGCTATGAAAACATTGCACTGACTGTCGGCGTGGAGGATCCCAGCCAGATCTTGTTCAAGACAGACGCTTTGCACGAGGCACAAGCGGCCAGCGCCGCTGGCTGGCGTGCCGTGCTAGTCGACCGACCAGGAAATGCCCCCATTGACGCCAAGCACAGCTTCGAAGTGGTGACATCGCTCACAGAGATCAGGGAGTAAACGGACGGTGTTTTAGGAAGACTCGGTGCTTCACCTGCAGATTGTTAGGCAGAGGTTGGTGTAACCATGGAATTACCACGTAGCTTGCTGATGAGGTGCCCATCGACTCCTATATCAGCGCTTAATTTACAAAGGGCTTCGTCCAAGAATTGATTTGATGGCTGGTGGAATGTCGGGTCTTCTGGTTGTCATTGGCAATGGGGTTGGATGTTTCGGCGGGTGGACAACTGTGGGGGTGAATCGCTAATGGTGACAGCTGTTGTGCTCGAAAGGAGCATTGGATTATTTGATGAATGTGTGGTTGTGGGATTGAATCGCGAGTGGATTTGCAGCTGGAATGTGAAAGGATTGATCGGAAAGTGAGAACGATATACGATGTGTGGTTTGACGTACAGAAGTCAGACGCTTGGACATTGTAACAGATCATTGTTGGTGCTTGGTTCTGTGCTGTGAATGCTGCAAGGCCGGTTCCGCACCGCGTGGCAAATTGCAGGCTCCCAAAGCCGAAGGTATGGCTCCCGTAAGGCTGCGTGGCAGGGATAGCTACTCGCAAGCGTCCAGACGCGGGCCCTGAACGTGGGGCATCTCCACACGCCGGTGTGTTCTGGCAGCGAGTACGGGCTGCGAACAAAGGCCGAAAGGGGGCGGTTTACAGTTGCCACCTCTCTGGCTTACTCCGAGGGAATCGCCCGTCATGCTGGACATGATGGGGCGTTCGTTTCAACATTCCAATGTTCGAACATCAGATATAGTCGGATAAAATCGAGGTCATCGGATTTGCTGCAGTTGTGCACAAAGTACACTCGCAATCTGGACGAGAGGGCAGAGCCGACACTCAAAGAACCTGTGAGCTATCGACACTGGCTGGTCGCAGGGCATGCAGTGTTGGTGCGGCAATGGTGGTGCAGCCCTGGTAGGAGCAGCTGGCATGTTGGATTGTCAACGCATTTAGCACGGTGGGTGTACAGTAGACACTGCAAATGGTGAAAATGGCAATGCTTAACTTTTTTTACCATCCCCTAGCAGAGGAGAAATGAATGTTGCCGTTGCACTCCAGAGTGGCATGGGCGGAGCGGCAAGTTCGCTAATGGTGCCTGCAGGTACCCCACCTTAAAAGGAAGGAAATTTTCCCAAGATACATACCCGACAGCTCCATAAAGAGAATTGGACGTCCAGTCGCACCTGTTGCCCTTGAGACATTGCCAGCGCTGGTTCTGTTGAGCAGCGCTTCTGTTGATGCAAATCTTAAGCGCTGTGGCGAATAGACGACGAACACCATCCTGCAGCAACTGCCTCGAGGGCAGAGTAACGCACAGCCACCTAGGCAATGCACCTTGGGCGCCTTGTTGTCCTCCGCATCAAGTTCTTGTGTGTCTTGGTCTCTCAAGCTGTCCTTGCCTCGACGCACGTCACCCATGCAGTATCTTCTGCTTTTCGATTTTCTCTGCTCGTTGCAGAAGCATCTCCTGCGAACACGGTGCGACATGCCAAGTAAGATGCATGCTTCGAGGCAGTGAGCCGCGCGATTCTTTTAGCACATTCAATTCGCGGTGCAACTGCATTCTAATGAAGATTTCCGCAATTTCTCAAGTCAAGGGACACTGTTGACCCTGTGGGGCTGACCTCTCAAGTGTCAGTTCCATGTTTCACTATTTGGAGAGACGCCTGCTAACTCTGCTAACTCCTCCCACCTCGTCCCAATATGCCCGCCCTCGAAGTTTCCCACCAACAGCATTGCAGCGCACACGCTCGTGTCAAATGGCAACGTGCCCATTCGTGTCCTTTAAAGGAAGAAGTTTCTGACTTCAAATGGAATCCAGTTCCGGTGTATTAATTCGCGGGCCAACCACCTACTTCTATGGCGGCCTCCTCGTCCGTCCCCACTCCGGAGTCTCTCAGGTCTAGGCGCCTAAGGACCGAATTTTCCTCCAGAGCCGCGCGAATGGCCGCTCCGCCCACATCGCCAATCGCGTTGCTGCTCAAGTCGAGCTCCGCCAGCACAGTGTTCCTGCAAGGAATGCAGGCAGCCGCAGAATCGCGCTTTGGAGTCCAATGTTCGTGGAATCCTAGGGAAACGACGATTAAAATTGCGATACCATGCCCATGGTTCCCAGCCAGTACAATCACGCTGTTTTTACAGTGGAGACTCCTGTGTGTGCTCAGAAAGTGTGCTGCCGTGTAAGCAGGCGGCGAGGTGCGGTGCGTTGTTGCAAAGTCTGCTTCATAATATTTTGGCCACAGGTCTCCTGCGGTGGCGAACTTGTATAGCCATTGCCATATCTGTGGATTTCGGTCTGCTGTTTGGATGATGTGAACGCGAATGGGGCTGTTTCTGCACATTGATGTCAGTCCAAACTTCTCGCACGTTGGTTTCGATTTGTCAATGGCGACATTGGGGCAATGCTGTCCGGCATAACGGCAAATTGAGGTTAAACTCCCCACCCCGGGTGAACGGCAGTACTTCTGTCGATTGCCAAATTGTAATCTGTGTCTGTCCTGCGATTGGGAGGAAACCTGACCTTTCCTCTACAGCGGCACTTCCATTGGCACGACCCCCAAGTAATCGGGGATGGTCGCCCATGTCAGCAGACGACAACAATCGACAAGAAAACGGCTCCTGACTCGAGCGCGTTTGGCAGCCATTAAATTGGCTGCGGAGATGCCAGTGGGAGAATTGCTTTCGTTTTATCTATGGATGCCAGCTGCAATCTGAAACTCATGAGGGAGATTTTTCAGCCACTTCAAGGGCGCCACGGGCTTCTTATTGGTTTGAGGCAATACTGGGCCGTCATGTCACTCAGACTTGTTATTTACGCCTTCAACACAGACCGTATGTACGTTTTTACGCATCAAAAGAGCTTTTACGTTCTTACGCGCAAAAGCGCATAAAAATTACGTGAATGCAACGTAAATACATCTCCCCTGTACGTAAGGAAAGTACATACAGCCTTCGGGACTCCGGGGAGTGGCAGCTAGACGCGCTGGAATGGGCAGAAAACAAACTCTTGTTCCCACCGTCGCGGTCCTTGCCGAATGCCGAAGTCGCGGCTGTGTTGCGGGTGCTAGAGGGGGCTGATCATTGTTCGAGACTTTTATCATGTAACCTGGGTGTCTCAACGAGCCGCAAATACGTAAATACAGCCGTAAGAATAGCCTCTTCCGCAAATTTATGTTTTAACGCGTAAGAACGTAAACGCAAAACGTAAACATAAACGTAAATAACAAGCATGACGTCATATATTAGTGCCATGGATCTGTACATACCATTTGAATGTCAGGTTGAATTGAAGCGTGGAACTATCTCCTTTGTGCCGCCCCTAGAGCTTGAGATATTGTTCCCGTAACGATCGAACAATTCAATGTGGCGCAAAACACGCATTCGTCCCATCTCAGGCGGTGTGCATCAATTCAAGACAACCCAGTGGAGGCACTCATTTGTTGCTCTTTGGTGGATTGGAGAAACCGTATCCATTACATAAGCAACATGGGCAATAGAAGCAGGCGGCGCAGTCACATTTATGTTTTGCCAGTAAACGCCAAATGCTTGCAGTTTTCATACTGACATAGCCACCCACTGCCATCCTACCTGCGCAGCACCGCGCTCATGGCCTCCGCCGTGAGCTCTCCCGCGTCGTTGGCACTCAGGTTCAATCGCCGTAGCGATTCGTTTGCTCTCAGCGCGTCCACCACCGACCGGCATCCCTCTTCTCCCAATCGGTTCAGCCTCAGGTTCAAATCCCTGGCCGACTTCAAAGAATCAATTCACCAATCAATCGGTCTGCGGTCTCGTTGAAAAGTGATCCAGCGCCTTTCGCTGAATACAGGGCAACGAAAAGCGGACACACTTGCAAAAACTGGCAGCGTTGGCCAATTTCGTTCCATGTTTAGCTAAATCATGCGTCGAAGTCTCACGTGGTGCAGTGTTTCTGAATTGACATGCAGCACTTTGCGTCGGCATGTAAAACTTATTGGTGATAAATGCATGCATCAGCAGTGGAGGCTTCAGCAGCAAAACAAATCGCGGAAACTTTGCCAACTTTATCGGTTCCAATTTGCCATTCAAAATGGCATCGCAATTGACACCGCGAAACCGGTGTTTCTGCTGATGATCGGGCCGGGAGCAACGAGGCTATATCGGGCCAATGACCAAGATATGCACATCTTTTTCCGACGTAAGAGGCTCCCATTACCTGATGGACTTGTTTCCGCGCAGCGCTCGCGCCAGAGCCCGGCCGCCCTCCCTGTGCACATGGTTGTCGTACAAGCTCAAGGTGGCCACGACGCTCCTACCGTCCAGCACGCGCGCCAGTGCCCGCACTCCGCGGTCCGCCACCTTGTTGTGCGACAAGTCGAGGTGCGTGATGGATATGTTGTCCACCAGGCCGGAGGCCAGCATGCGTGTCTTGTCGTCGTCCAACAGGTTGGAGCTGAGGTCCAGGTAGGTCAGCGTCTCGGTGCGCTCCAGGGCGCGGGCGAGCGACCTGAGGGGACAGCGAGGCCAGGGCGGAAATATCAGCATGACGGACAGGCTTAATGCATTGTGTTTGCATGGCTTGTTATATTTATCTTGCATTTATGTACTTTTCACGGAAAAGGCATAAAATACAGACTGCCTTTACGCCGCAAACAACAAGTCTGCCGCAATCACCGATTGCAGCTTGGGCAATCGGGGGAAGGAAATGGGATAATTACTCCACATGATGGCAGGGACGTAAGCATATTATTATGTTACTCATTGTGTGTATATCGTTCACTGTAGTGAATGAATGGACCCGTTTATGCAACGAACTGTTTATGTGATACGGTCTGCGAGCTCGCCAGAGTGTGGCAACTGCACGGCCCGTGGCTTTCCCTTTTGTTGCTCTTTGAGGAATGCAAGGAATTGCTGTGTTCCGTATGGCTTTTCAGCCGCAAAAGCCATATTAAAGGAAGACAAGATGGCCAAAAACTACGTGACTGCACGCATTACGCTATTATTTCTGTGTCTTGTGTATTCGCACATATATGGAATATACCCTCGCTCACAGTGGTGATTGGTGGGATCCCTTGCACAGGAGTGCATGCTGGGGCTGCGAAGTGCCTCCGCAGTGCCTCCACACTGGTTTGCGTGTCAACTATCAAATACAAGCCGCATGGGTTCTGAGCATTCAGGTCAGCGTCACCTGCAATCTGAGAGCTTCATACCAAAAAGTGTGCGCTCGTACTCCATCCCCACCCCCTTCATTCCGTAGCACAGGGAAAGCCCCGCCGGAGAGTTCACCATGGCATCGAAAATGATCTGCGAAACAAAGAGGAACTCGTGGCAAACATGATAATTTTTTCCAAAATGCTGTTGCTGATGCTGGAACATCATTGAATACAAGGATGGGAGGCTCTTTTGATGGGGTCATCAGATATGTAAGCTGTTCTCGTTTTTCGGACAGCATTGGCAACAAAATACGCAATGAGAGGGCCAGGGCAAAGCGAACTATTCAAGTCGCGAATTCGCGTTGTTCATTCGAATGAACAACAGTTTGAACTGAAGTCCTGAAAATTTATGGGACGCGATGCACAAATCCTGCAGTCCTGATTTCGATGGCGATGGCCCAGCGGCATTTTGCACGGCGATAAATCATGCAATTGAACAAGCTGATAGATGGGTCTGTCTGAGACAGTAACTTGGGTAGATCCCCTGCCAAACGCCAGCTCATCCTTTGAATGCCCGGACAGCAACTGGAACAACGCCGCCTATGCTTGAATCACTTTGAATCCTCATGTTGACATATCTCTCAGATATAGTAAATCATGCATATGAGAAGGAAATCTACACACATATGTAAATTGTAGTAAACTGCAGCAAATACTGCGCATATGTGCAAGATTTTATGGCGGCGAATTTCTTTCCCGCGCCAAACAGACATTCAAATGGGGCGCACTTGCGACCCCCGCACGACCGATCCACCACCCCCAACTCCGCAGCAATGCCCTCCCAAGTCCCGCCCAACTTTCCGCGTCGCCTCAAGGGGTCCCAGGCCTCTCCAACGGCAGCGCGCCCACCCACTGCGTCCCATCAAACGCATCAAGTCCCCTCCACGCGCCTGCAGGTCAAGGTGGGACGGCAGCCGCCGTACGCACAGGTGCACCACGAACCGCCGCGAGTACGTCATCAGCCGCCTCAGATCCTCCTCGCCCACCCCGCCCGGCCCCCCGAACCCCTCCAGCGCGTCCTGCAGGTTGCGCTCGAAGTACATCTGCTTCCAGGACCCGCCGTGGGCCTCAGGGCACGGGTTGCGCCACCGCGCGCACGCCCGCCGCCGCCAGTACACCTCGTCGTCCGGCACGCCCAGGGATCCCGCCACCTCCAGCGGCAGGTCCAGCGGGAGCAGGGCCAGGCCGCGGGACACGTACTGCGGCGGCAGGGCGTCCAGGCACCTGCGCCGCTCAAAGTTTGCAGCCACAGACTCGAGGCAGAGGTCGGCAAGGGGAGTGATCAGACGGGGCCCCTCGCCGCACGGGATGGCAGGCGTGGCTGTCTCGCACATTCTGCACTGTGTGCGAAGCCCAGTGGTGAGGGTGCTTGGGGCGGTGGGTGGTTGGGAAGTTGGGTGTGCCAGAGAGGGCTGCCTGCGGTTCAGGTGAGTGCCTGAACAGTCAGTGCCCCCCGTGCGTTGAGAGGGAGCGCAAGAATCGCTCAGGTCTCATTTCAGTGTCGCGCCTCGAGAGAGCAGGGGCGCGAGGGCCGTCGGAAGTCCGGCTGCCGGCAATTTTGGGGATCGCTGCGGGACACGGCGCTGGCGCACTCTGGCAGACCGGCTCGTCGTGATGGAATGGCGATATCTTGTTTTTAAAAGGGAGGCCCAGTTTGGACGCTGCTGCCTCTGGCGTATTGTGAAGGGGTTGGGGGAAAGCGATCGGCGTTGGCGCTGCCTGACGCTGACTTGGGTGGACCAGTCAACGGTGAAATTCGCATCATGTGCCCCGACCGGTTGAGGATGCTGTGTCAACGCCATTGCCTCGCGTTTTCGTTCCTGGGTTCATCATCATCACCATCATGATTTTTTTACAGAACAAGGCAATGAGGTAGCCGTCAGCTTCCTATTTTGCCTGAGCAAAGCAGTGTCGGTGATTGGTTCATTGGAATCTAAGGAGAATACAAACTAAATGTACGAACTATGAAATTTCGCTGCCTAAAAGTGACAATCGATGGTAATACATCAAACGAAGTGTGTTCGCAAGCTGTCGAGCTGGAACTGTAGCAAAGAGTACTTTTGCATTGCGACATTGAAAAATACGAGAGTGGCTTCGACGGATGGTGTTGTAGGCTTGGCAGTGGAAGAGAAAATGGAGCTCGTCTTCAGGTGCCAAGTGGCATAACGGACACAATCGCCTTGAAAATTCTGGAACGGATTGTCTCGCTTAGTGTCGTTGATTCTTGACTTCCAGGAAATGCACCCCACAGCGAAAGCGTAGGAAGAAAGTCCTCAAGGAGATAGGTTGTAAGGTTGACAGGAATCGTTCATAGCGGTAGACTGGCTTGATGTGTCTGTAACAACGCTGAATTCTTGAAGAAGGGCTGGTGAAGACATTGGCGATGTGGACATGTTTGTATATCCTGGGTTCCTGGGTTCACTTGAGCTCTGGAGTCGGAAGTTTTCCTTCCGAAATCAGCCGCGCTGGCGCAAATTTCCTAGTCTTCATCGCTGTCATCATCATCATTTGTCACACAACAACGCAATGTCATCGCTGTCAAGAATGCTACATATCAAGGGGAGGAGGTAGCCATCACTTCTCTATTCCGCTAAAGCAATGCAGTGTACATGATTGGTTCCATGAAAACGCAGGGTATTCCCGCAAACCAACCACTGAGTAGCTATGCATGAACGCTAAAATTCACGAAATTCACACATTCTACGGGCCAGGCATTGTCCTTTATCAGGTCAACACACTGGTGGTACTGAACATGAGGCGAAAGGATCCAAAGGTCAGGCGCGAATTTCGGACAGGCAATATATGTTGGACTTGTATTTGTGCTAGTAAATTTGCAGCAAGACTGCGCTGTAGATGCAGCGGTGCACCCCGGAGCTCTCATTTCCATGACGGAGTCCTCGATGTTCAGGATTGTGGGCCAATCGGACCACAATCGCTCACATGGATATCGCTGTAGAGGAATGAAACATCGCATCGCGGCTGACGCCGCGCTGATCAGAGCGCATAGGGCCTATGAGAGGCTTATTCAAGGACAGCTGAAAATTGACGCAAGCCTGTAGTACTGGCAGGGCGAAAGAGCCAATCTCATCTACAGAAACGCGCACGTTTGCATTTTTTGTTCGTTAGGTTTGAGGCAGTGTTCGATGACCATCACTGTGGTTGTCTAATGAGTGTAATGAGCCATGTCAGAATTCAGAAGATTCTTCACAACACGTGCGCTACCCAGATCCCAAGGCACAAACAGCCAAAGGACAAAATGAAGCCTGTAGAAAGCCTACTAAAAGGGTCCAAGTCAATTGAAAGTGACTTGGACCACCCCCCCGGGCTGCCCTCAACGTGCATCTTGATAGTGAACCACAGCACCGCCCAGGAGAACAGGTGAGACAGCAGGACAGGCGAGACCGCCGGGAGCCAGCACCAGTCAGCCCCAATGCGCCAACGCCACCGTCGGGCGGCCCTCAGCACGACAGGCTTCCAGTGGGCCAGTCCTTCAGTAATATCCGGCCAGTGTTTTCAGTAAGGCCCAGTACAATACGCACAGCGGAGAGTGCGCGCGTTGGCGCCATCGCGACGCGTTGTTATGGAAGGCTCTCGGTCTGCACCCTCGACCCCTGGTCGTGATGCGCCGCCCCCTGGGTCAACATTCTACTGACCCGTCTTGCTCTGATCGCCCAACGGCCAGCGTTGGGGCTTTTCGTAGTTTAGTGTCTGAACCTATCTCTGGTAGACAACATGAACACTCTGGCAACAACCCCAAGCGCAATCGCTATTCCTTAGATTCGCCGCTCGCACCGCTCACCACAATACCCCTCATCAATGAAACCGCCAGGCATGAATTACTGTCCAACATCAGAGATCTCCTCCCTCCCGAACAAGGGCTGTGTTTTCGTTGTGGTGGACTTCATTATGAAAAATTCCGAGCAAATGTTCGCCCAGCAGCTTCAAGCCATCCACACCTATCTGGGTTCAGTTTTGCTACCAAAGCCAAAGTGCCCTCTCTCAAAGTGACGTAAAGAGGGTGGAGAACACGGGCAAGAAGAGCTCCACAGAAATTGGGCAAATATCTGAATGGATAGTGGCCGCTGAACGAGATTTTGAGCTGATCCAGATCCGATGATCATCGATCGCCCACGACATCGATCGATCCAGACCCATCCATCCGTGCAAGATAAAAGCTAGCTCAAAGATGCAAGTTGTACGCATGGCTACCTTCGCATCCCTGGCTGAGAAAAATGCTGCGCGCTCAAGCTCGGATCCCTCAAACGTCAAATCAAACGCTCAGTTTCGTGAGGCAGACGGGTATCAAGACTTGGCAAAGGGTCAAATGGACCGCCGGACTCAATCTCTACCTATCAACCGTGCTGCCAAATCAGCTGGAGTTTCAATTCTTGACAATTGGGACACAAGCTTCAATTCTAGAACCCTTAGGGTTCTGGAATCGCTTGGCTAGCGATGGATCTTGGAAATAATGGAGCCCATGTGATGATTGGCATAGGCAACTCTTTCCTCATGTCTATCTTTCTCAACTCCACATTAGTAGGTGTACGGCCATCAACTTCCTTGGGATTTTCCTTTGGTTCCTAGAATTGCAGCCTTGTTGCCTTTCGCAATTCAGCAAAAGAACCTTTCCTATCTCGCCTTCTTATTTCTTCTCATGTACTCGCTCTTCAAGGCATCGGATCCCACTATTCTCTAACTTTTAGCTCCCAATTTTCACATCTTTGCCTTCTCTCGTGATTCAAATTGATCCTTAAAGGGTATAGCTGTTTACATTCGCAAGCTCTCTAGATTTTCAGTTTCCCTTTGGCCTCATCGCTCTAATTCTTGGCACATCTGCATACAATGCCGTTTTCATAGTTTAGATTTTCTCTTATAGCTGTATGTATTCCTCCCATTGGCTCATAATATGAGCAAAAAGTTTGTTGGGATGAGCTTAGAAATGAACTAATTCCTTAACACTCGTTTGGACTTACTATACTTTTGGGTGATTTCAATGCTCGTATTGGGACCACTCTGCGCTATCTCATTTGTGGGACTCAAATTTGATTAATTCCAATAATGATATTCTTTGACGTCAATCCACTAATTCATACTTCCTCCGTCCCAGATTAATTGTCGTCTATGATTTCGGGGCATTATTTCTCCATGATGCCTGCATCTTTTTTCAATAAAATTTCTTCTACGGTTGTTTTTTGAGTTATGAGTACACCATAAAAATTTCACGTCAATCCATTATGTATTGAGAATTTGGCAGCACTTTGTATCAAGGGTCTTGCTACATAGTAAATCTCAATATTTGGGGTCGAAAATGACCAAAAATTTACCTTCGCCTTGCACTCAAAAGGGTCATGTCTCACTTTCCCTTCTTGAAAATTGAAAGTCAAGGGTTTTGAGATGCAGTTTTTTCGATTTTGACCTTGTTTTAAAATTCTGAGGTTGTCCTTATAACAAATATAGCCTTTCAAACAGACGACAATTAATCTGGGATGGAGGAAGTACATCAACACACTGGGAACAAAGCTTATTCGTCTTCGTGAGACATTGGATTTAGTAAATTTAAATGGTTGATGTCAAGGTGATTTTGAAGGCCAATCTACATTTAGGCACTTTGCACATGGGAATCTCTCAGTGATCGATAATGTGAATGTCTCATGAGGTTCTTGATAGTTTTGCAATCGATTTCAAATTTATGATGGCTCATGCACAAAAACATTTTATTGTCCAGTTTTTGGCTTCTTTTTACTTCCCTACACAAGATAGTGCTTCTCCCAATAATTGGACCTGTTGCTAGAATTTTCATATTAAAGATATGTTCAAGACTGGCTTTCAACGGGCTTTATGATGAAGTGATGATCGTTTTTACCCAAATTCATCTTAAAGGATCATGATGTAGGATTGGTGGGCGATTGCATTATATCCACAATCAGGCAATGTGTTATGCACATAGACCTCACGTGGGGGATGCCCTACTACAGTCTTCTGGTGTGGGGGACGCCCTGCCTAGGATAGAGTAACGTCACCTGAACCGGACCGTATAATACATTACAATATGGGAGTAGGCCGGGGTGGTCCCGCCTAGGTCCCCATAAGGACCCGGATGCTAGGCAGAGCGGTTCTGCGGGTTAAAGTGGGCAAGCGCCCCATACCACTAACAATCCTGTGTCACAATAAATTCCTCCTTATGCATGTCAAACTCAATGGTAGCTTCAATCACAGGCAATCCCTTGTCGTTGGTTCAATCAGATTTACCAACAACTTAGACAAAAATATAGATAAACACATTAATGTGATCCCTCAACACCAATCGACATGGAACCTGCATGAAGAACTACTT